TTTACAGTATGAAGTATAAAATAGCTATATATATTGTGTTAGAGCCAGTTCAGTTTTGTATCAGATTGTAGTGTAACCTGGGATCAGTCTCTATTTTAGAAACTGATATAGCCTGACACAAACCTTAATCCGATAGCTTTCCAACCACAGCTAAGTTTATATTTAGTATCCAATCAAAATGTTGTGCAGGAGAAATTTAAATTTCACACAACGTCTTGCGACAACAACAATCTATGTACAGTTGTGATCACTATAAAATATATCAACAATAGCAGCCTAGTCCCAGGCTCTCTCTCTCTATTCGCTGCTTTGATATATTTAAATAAGTCTTAAAAGTTTTATGCCTGGGTTTGCTGTGCGGAACGCTTCTGAAGCACCTTGAGCGGTGACGTCACACCTAGGTCCCAGTCTCGTAGTACATCCACGTTTTTTCTCGCGCTTGCTTCAGAACGACTGGGACTAGGCTGCAACAATAGTATAATCTAGTTAGCACCAACAATCAAATGACATATTAAATATCTTTTGTCTCATAGACCAATCAGATTTACAACTGAAATACGGTTGTAAAGGCGGATTTCCAGTCCTCGCACGAAGCTCCTCGCTGCGAGTGATGCCTCAGCACTTTCATCCAATCACAATGCTAAACAGTTAATTTTAATTAGATGCAAGCACTCGCAGCGAGCTGCGAGGAGCTTCGTGTGAGGACTGGAAAACCACCTTTAAGCATGGACTTTTGTTAAGGTTTGTATCAGACCTATTTATTTAGGCCCTGTTTAGCTGTCGAACTTTTCAGGCGCCGAACCTAATGCAAATGAAGTGAAACAAAGAACTTATGTCTAAACCGGGCCTTATAGGGCTGATCGTAGGGTAATTGTAGTGATGCACCAATATGGAAATTCGCCAATAACTGTTATTGAAGGACCCATGTTTGGCTGATACCAATATTGTATGTCATTTCACAAAATTCAAAGATTACATCATGACAGTTCTACTTTAGTACTTTTAAATTTAATTCAATTCATTTTTTTCTAAAGTCTGAAAATATTAGATGAAATGCTTCAAATGTATGCAACAAACAAGTATATTACTATACGCTGATGACTATTTATTTGTAATAAAAATAACTATTTAACTGCAACTATAACC